ATAGACTCCCAATTGAAGGAACTGCAGGATAATCAAACGAGCCTAGATCTTGTTTTGTGAAGTTTCCCCTCCCTCATGCCACCCACAGCTGATTCAGGAGAGGGAAAGTCCATGCACTTGGCGGTAGCAAGAAGTACAGCAGTTGCTGAAGGAAACAAAGTGTGATTGTTGATCAAATTTTTGGCTTCTATTAGATCCTAGAAAAATGTGATCAAAGTTTGAATTCCTTTAAGGTTCTACAGTGTGTAAATACTGTGGCCTTTTGCTTGCAATTGGCACCATCTACAGAGATCCATCCAGTTTTCTATCATTCATTGCTAGTCAGAGAGAGGCCACCAAGCCTTTTATGATCACCATTAACAATGAGTGCCATTAACGCACTCATGCCCAAACACACTGATTGTTCAAGGCAAGAAAGAGTTCAAGGTAAAAGAAATATTGAACTCAAGGAGACAGAGTAAAGGCATATAGTATTTGATTCACTGGAAATGCTATCCAGAAGCAGAACTTTCATGGGAAAATGCCAAGTATGTGCAATATATTGTGCATGCTCCTGAATTAGTGTAGCAAAGATTTACCAAAGATTCCCAGACAAGCCAAGACCTTCTAAACTTCCAGTCGCGAATTCCATCTCAGAGCCTAAGAGGGAATCAGTGAATGAAAGAGTTAATTAGGCAGAGGAGGAACCTCTAGAGGGAAGCATTGGAGCAGATGAGACATGATTTTCATCTTCTGGACTTCAGTTCCTGAGGGAAAGCAGGGAGGAATTCTCAAACCATCTGGATGTTTTGCAGGATGCACTGCCTGGCTGGAAATAGTCTTCAGACTCGGGGGAGGGAACTCCTTTGAGTTGGCATTGCTCCCCCCCCCCCCCCCCAATTTCTGTGAGATCCCAGACAATGAACATGACATGGTAGATGATGTGGGGAGTGTGATGTTGGATCATTCCAAGCCAGGCAATGAAGAGGAATCAAGCAGAAAGATAGTTTTCTTGCACAGCCACAAGAGACTTATACCTGACCTCCCCTAAATTGCATGGGACCTTATCTAGGGAGATTCTTGCATTATAGATAGAACATAATAAAGTAGTTATCTCGAACCCTTCACATGTAGACCTGGTTGTTTGCTCCATCTGGTGATGTCCACATACTTTATTTTTGTTGTTGGAAAGCTGTTTTAGCAATGAAGAAATCATTGGATTGTAGCAATTAATAAATCATTATATCGTTTTTTAAGCCATTTAGTCCAACTAAATGTTCCTCCTTAGCATGTCCAACTTTGGCATTCTCATCTCCAGCCACAAGCTACAGGTCTTGCTTGCATGTTCTATGCAATTTAAATCAACATTTATATATAACATTTGTCATCCTTCTCTTTTGCATCAGTGGTTGGAACATAAAGTTGAATAATCATCATATTAAAGAGTTGTCTGCACAGTCTAATTGCATTCTGCCAAGTGCTGTGTAGTACCCTAGTTGTTTTACCCTTCCTGACTATGAAAGTAATGCCATTCCTTCTTTGTTTTTGCATCCCAAGTAATATGTAGTATAATCTTCTGGTAGAAAGTATCCAATTCCAGTCTATTTCAATTTACCAATTCCTAAGATGTTAATTTTTAGTCAGTTCATTCCATCTTTCAGTGAACTGAATTTCCTTGTTCATGCTTCTTACATTTTACAGGCCCACTGTAATTCTAGAATTGCAGAATTAGGTCTTATTTTCCTGGGTGACAACATCAGGAACTAGATGCCCCAAAGACTTTAACCTAGGTGCCTTATAAACCTCATTTATACTTTGAAAGTTCCTGAGCTTGTTGAGCATTAAAGCACCAATATTTTCAATCATTTTATCTGGTCTACTCATATGGTTTTCTTGATAAAATACAGAAGTGGTTTACCATTGCCTTCTCCTATACAAAATGATATTATACCTTTGCCATCTATAATACAATGATCATTCATATCTAGCATCTTTGTGTATTGCTGCTACCCATTGCTGATACTAGCTTGCTTTGGTTTTAGAACATCCACATCCAACATCCAACATGCACTATAAGGCAACAGAGCAGGACTGGAGCAGGAGTTTACCATTCTAAATTATTTTTAAAAAACTGACCAAAATTAACACTAACCTAACTTAGCATGTTGTGCAAATAAAGCTACAAGTGTCAAGCGCAGAAAATCAGAAATCCAGGCAGTTCAAATGAATTTATAGTTTTATTTCAATCTTAAGCCCTCCACAAGAATTTGAACTGCTAATGGTCAGAGCATATTGGCTGTAGATAAAAGCAGGGGTGAAATCTAAAAATTTTCGCTACCGGTTCTGTGGACGTGGCTTAATTAGTGGGTGTGGCTTGGTCAGGTGACTGGGTGAGCGTAACTTGGTGGTCAGGTGGGCGTGACCAAGTCAACTTCACTTCTTTGCCCTTTTTTAACTTACAAAATACAACAAAACACAACTGGCTCACCCACAATGTAAAAGCAGCTGTGCTAGACCCAGATGGCCCCTGCAACAAGCAGGAACCTCACACAGCCACAAAAAGCCCAAAAAACCAACTTTCACACTTTACACACACACAACACAACACAAACACAACTGGCTCACCCACAATGTAAAAGCAGCTGTGCTAGACCCAAAATGGCCCCTGCAACAAGCAGGAACTTCACACAGCCACAAAAAGTCCAAAAAACCAACTTTCACACTTTACACACACAAAATTCCACATACAGCTTTGTGAGATTTTGTGTGTTTGTGTAGTTAGAGTGAAACACTACAGAAACACACAAAATCTCAGAAAGCTGCACAAATATTATTTTATTTTATTTTTATTTTTATATAAAAGCAGCTAAATTTAAAACTTCCTAAACTTTAAATGGCTAGGTCTAAAAAAAGAACAACTAAAAAAAAACCCAATTAACTTTTTTTTTTTAAGCTCCCAAAGGGGAAAAAAACTTACAGGCAGGCAGGCAGATAGAGCTGCTCACTAATGAGCTTGATTGCAGGCAGAGAGATTCAATTGCTTGCTGATGCAATGGATTGCAGAGATTATAGCAAGCGAAGCAAGGCAGGCATTGCAACCAGCGGCTCAGGATTCAGTCCGAAGGGCGAAGCTGGAGGCTGGGGGGGGGGAAGGGAATTTTGCTACCAGTTCTCCAAACTGCCCGCCACCATCGCTACCTACTCACCCGAGCTGGTCGGAACTGGGAGCATTTCACCCCTGGATAAAAGTCTATGGAATTCAAGGTTGGCTGCACTTAGAGCTTGTGGGCACAAAGGAACTAGAGACTTATAACATCCTTAACCCTTCCCTCAGGCTCATCCTGGTCATCTCCTACATCTAGTCTTTTATCAAACCTGATTGTGTTGTATGAACTCAGCTGGTCAGAAATAAATTGTTTCAACACACTCAAGTCTTTAAAATTGTCTACTTAAGTGCTAATTATAATGAAATCATAGTAAAACATAAATTAGATACTAGTACAGTTCACAGCTGCACTCTTAATCTTTACATTATGAAGAAATTAAAGAAGGTATTCTTTCAATTTGGTCATAATATGATTATATTGTTTGAACATATCTGCATTGGTAAACAGCAGGGTATGTCTCATTCTAACTTTAGGGTCATTAGAAAGGTTGCAAGATTCCTAAAATCAGTAAAATGTGAAAATCCAATTAGTATTTTTGCTGTGATTATATTTCACACAAATACAGAGCTGCTTGTTTATGATAAACAAATATCAGTTTATGTACAGCTATATAGATGCCATCTAGATCCTAGTTAATCCTCCTTTGGAGTGATTCCATATGAGCATTTTGCAACATTTTGCAACATTTTAAAACAGCTTTTCCAACCTGAACTCCTACATACAGTATGTGTTGAGGCTTCTGTGGCAGCCAAAAAACGCTGTTGTTTGGATATTTGGCAGCTGTGGCTCAAAACATTTGAAAACATCAGATTGAGCAAAACTGTTTTAAAACCAGGAAGAATACAGTGAGATTCATTATGCGGACTAAATGAATAATAGCACCAAGAAGGTTTTTAAAATAGCTAATGGCAAAGATTTGGGGAGGGAGGATAGGATGGACTTTGTTAGTTATTAGTTCTGTGCTGTGACTGAGATTTAACCTTTTCTTCTCATACCCTTTTTCTAATCACCTTCCTTTAATCTAATCTGTCATATTTTATAGTATAGAGGAATGGGAGGTTATGGTGGCAACAAATACTTAGTAAAATATTTACAATCATCTTTCTTTCAAAAGCAACAAAAATACATCATACCATGCAAAAACTATTTTGTGGGAAGTAGACTGAACTCTTCAATCTGGCCAATATTTGTGTGCTGCTGGGAAACAAAAAAAAATAAAGTTTTACATGCTTTTTAAAAGAGTTTGCTATTTCTAGATAAACCTGATATGCACCCTTTCTTTCTTAATGGGATTATGCAAACAGGATGTATTTTAATATGATTTTAACAAAAGCATTATATCTACCATATTTGAATTTTATATCTTAATACACATTTCTTATTACAAGTAGGTATTTTAAGTAACGTTATATGGCATTTTAGGCAGCTCCTGACAGCCACTCTTCAAACTGACTCATGAGCATCCTCATCTTTTAGCTGCTGAGGATTATTTTATATTGGCCAGCAATTCCCTTCATTTACTAAAGCAGCTTCCAATCACTCCTTCTATGTCACCTTACTGGTTTTGCAGTGAACAAAAATCACAAATGGCCCGTAGAGACAGAAAAACTTTTGTCATGGGAAAGTTTCATTTCTATTAGAAACCAGGGCAGGATTCTCACAAAATACTGTCTTATAGTCTTTCCCAGCTTCTTCTTTAGGGGGTGGGGTTATTAACTGCCATCCTGACAAATGTACATGGATTATAATTGGGAGAAAAATGTATACTTTTTCTGCAATGTAAATGATGATATGTTTTGTGGCACAATTAGTCTGCCAGTAGACATTTTATATTCATGTCACTTATTATTGTAGATGAGGACTTCAACATGTTTGCTCAGGATGACAGGGAAAATGCTGGAAATAAAGGTAAATACACTATATCCTTTATATATAAATAGGTGCTATACCATGCCATTTCCCCCAAAGCAATTGGTTGCCCGGTTTTACCATGGGATTGTTGCTAAAATACGTGTACAAAGTCTGTCAGCCAGGAATTTTTAAATGATATTTCTATTGAACTAAAAAATGCACAATCAATTGACCTTATTGATGCTAGTGTCAATATATGTTTCAATCATGAATCATATTCAGTATTGATAGATGCTAGGTGTGTCTAAATCTAAGCCTTATTAGAGTCATCTTCTAGAATCAAATATAATAAGTAAACTCCTATACATAATAAAACATAGGAGTGTCTCTTTCTGGAAGATTTTTAAAACATTGTAATATATTACTGTATGAGTCATAATTTCTTTCCCACAGATTCTAAGGAAAGCAAAATGCATTGTTGCTTCTCTATCTATGAAATTTTATCAACTAACACACATTAGTGGCCCTTTGCAGTCCTTTGAATTCAAAGATTTTAAGGAATTTTGGAAAAGGTTTACATTCATACTCTTGTGTTCTCCAAAATATTTGAATCAAAAGCACTGGACAGCCCTACCAGTTAATACTTGGAAGAGAAACCACCAGGAAACTTCAGGACTATAGGTTACTTAGGTGACCCATAGGTTGGGAAGTTGTAAAAATTCTGGAAGAAGACAATGGCAGAACATTTCTATATTGTTACCAACATAATTATATACTGTTGCTCTATCCATGAAGCTACCAGGAATCAACAGAAAACTCAAGCAGCAAAAGAACTGCCGTGGAACTAGGAAAGCAAACAAGAAAGAGGTCATGAAATCAAGGGAGAGACAAGAAAGTAGACAGAAACCCATGGAAAAACTAAAAATTAGAGAGAGAAGAATTGCATGCCAAAAGGAAGGGAGAGCAGTGAAGGTCTGTTTACTGGGAACTTGACCTTCTCAATTACTGCTTCTAGACATCTTCAAAGGGAAACTTGTCCTTCCAGAGTGCATAGGGAGGGAACCTTCCTTCCCCAGCTTTTTCCTTGAGACTTTAGGCTGAAAGCGGAAAGCCTGTTTCCTGGACCATTCCTGTCCACCTGCTCTCTGCCCTCAGTCCCTCTTCCCCACCAGACCACCTGATTCTTTCTCTGCCAGAACCTACATATCCAGTTCAGGAAAAAAACACTTAGGTGGAGCTGCTTGAATTTCCTGCAGTTCTGGGTGCTGCATTTGCTCATAGTTCAGGAAACATCCTCATATGATAAATTGTGGTTAACAGAATAACAGAGTTGGAAGGCACCTCAGAGATCTTCTAGTCCAACCCCCTGCCCAAGCAGGAGATCCTATACCATTCTGGACAAACCACTCTTTTTAAAAACATCCAGTGATGGAGCATCCACAATTTCTAAAGGCAAGCCATTCCACTGACTGTGTGATGGACCATAATATATTAAATATATATGCCACCTGACTCCTGGCGACTCTGGATAGTTTACAATTTGCTAAAATATTTTTTAACAGTAACAACATAAGGCATAAAACAAATAAACAAAGAAAACAAATCCAGATGGGAACAAGGGAAAGGAAGAAAAGAGGTATTGGTCTTTCCAATATTCTATAAAACATCATTTTTTCTTAAAATAAACACTACAGTGTTGGATTAGATTTTTCCTTCTTCCTAACATTGCTTTAAAAATTACTATAATGGTTTCTAATATGCTTTTATTGTTTTTACTATATACTCATAAATCACAGTAAGTGAAGGGAAGGACACTATATAAGTAAATTATTATAATCATTTTGTTTTTCGTATTCCTCTCAGACATTCTGATAACTGTGTATAAAATGCCTGAATTAGGAACTGGTATATACATACCTCTATGCCACAAAATATGCTCCCAACCATTCTAAATCATTCATCTCAATTTATATAGGGATAAAATTAATGCCCTCTGTTTTTTTATTCATAACTCTATTGGCAATGATCGGCATGAGAATATTATACTTGGGAATGATTCAATTAAGAATGAACCTTCAGAATGGAGTCAAAATATCTTGGACAATTTAGCAGTTGTGGCAAGTTTATGATATAGAATAGCAGAGAACTCATTTTGGAGATATGCTATAGTCTTATTCAGGCTGTACATCTAATTCTGTGTTGCATAATCATCTAGGAACCAAAATCCAACAATATCTGGTTTAATTGTTAGTAGTAATACGCTTATGCTTACTGCTTGCTGTAAGTCAAGTAATATTGCACCTTTACTTGGCTTTCAGTACAGGTAGTCCTCATTTGGTGACCATAATTAGAATTGTCCATTAAGCAAATGGTTGCTAAATGAAATTATGACTATGATAATAATAATAATAATAATAATAATAATAATAATAATAATAATAATAATTTTATTTCTATACCGCCCCTCTCCCGAAGGACTCGGGGAGGTGTACAGCCATTTTAAAACAAAAAATATACAAATATCAAAATTTAAAATTATTAAAAATATTACACAATTTCAGCCCGGATTAAAACCCCCAATTTAAAACTCCCAATTTAAAATAATTACATAGTTAGCCCTGCCTGGTGAAACAGTAGGGTCTTAAGGGCACAGTGAAACACACGGAGGTTGGAGATCTTGCGTATTTCCAGGGGCAGTTCGTTCCAAAGGGCAGGAGCTCCCACAGAAAAGGCTCTCCCCCTGGGTGTCGCCAGCCAACATAACTTGGCCAATAGCACCCTGAGGAGTCCCTCTCTGTGTGAGCGGACTGGCCGGTAGGAGGCTATTGGTGGCAGAAGTCGGTCTCGCAAGTACCCGGGTCCTAATCCATAGAGCACTTTAAAGGTGGTAACCAACACCTTGAATCACACCCGGAAGACCACTGGGAGCCAGTGCAGCTCGCGCAATGAGTCACGCAACGAGTCGCGCCCATAACCACCTGTGCGGCTGCATTCTGGACCAGTTGGAGCCTCGGAGTGCTCTTCAAGGGGAGCCCCATGTAGAGAGCATTGCAGTAGTCCAGACGTGACGTGACAAGGGCATGAATGACCGTGTGCAAGGCATCCCGATCCAGAAAGGGCCGCAACTGGCGTATCAGGCGAACTTGATAAAAAGCCCCCCTGGCCACGGCCATCATATGCTCTTCTAAAGATAGCCGTGCATCCAAAAGGACACCCAGATTGTGAGCCCTCTCTGTGGGGGGCAAAGATTCACCCCCAATAGTCAGCAATGGCACCAGCTGACTATACCGGGATGCCAGGAGCCACAGCCACTTGGTCTTGGAAGGGTTGAGCCTGAGCCTATTTCTCCCCATCCAGACCCGCACGGCCTCCAGGCAGCGGGACATCACATCAGGGGCATCATTGGGGTGATCTGGGGTGGAGATGTACAGTTGGGTGTCATCAGCGTGTTGATGGACTCTCACCCCAAAACCATGGATGATCTCACCCAGCGGCTTCACATAAATGTTGAACAGAAGGTGCGAGAGACTGACCCTTGCAGCACTCCCCAAGTGAGGCGCCTCAAGGTCGACTTTTGCCCCCCTGCCAACACAAACTGTGAGCGGTCGGAAAGGAAGGAGGAGAACCACCGCAGCACGGTGCCTCCTATTCCTAACCCTCTCAACCGCTGCAGCATGATACCATGGTCGATGGTATCAAAAGCCGCTGAGAGATCTAATAGGACTAGGACAGAGGAGCAACCCTTGTCCCAAGCCCTCCAGAAATCATCCACCAATGCAACCAATGCCGTTTCTGTGCTGTACCCCTGCCTGAAGCCCGACTGGTATGGGTCTAGATAGACAGCTTCATCCAGGTGCTGGGGAAGCCGTCGTGCCACCACACTCTCAACAACCTTCGCCACAAAATGAAGTTTGGAGACTGGATGGTAGTTTGCTAGTACAGCCGGGTCCAGGGAGGGCTTCTTGACGAGGGGCCTCACCACCGCCTCTTTCAAGGTCTTACTTCAGCTTTCCTTTGCTCTACAGATTTGCGAAGGTCATAAATGAAGGATTAGTCGTAAGGTTACTTTTTCATCATGGTTACTGTATGAGGCAGTCACTAAATGAGGACTACCTGAATAAGCTCTTTTATCTCACACAAAAGAAGCAGATCTATTTTCTTTCCAACTATTACCAAGATTTGTGTTCTGTCTGTAGAGTACCATCTCCACAAATCTTTCTTGCATATTATGATGATGTATGCGGTTTTATTCATCTAAACATTTTCTTATCAGGACGTTCCTTTCTTCCAATTCAAAATGGGTAATGTCCTTTCTGTCTTCCCCCTTGTTGTGGCTCCAGTGGACAGTTACAGCGGTGCTTAAAAAATTGTGAACCCTTTGAATTTTGAAAATGATCAAAAACATGATCTGTTATTCACACAAATCCTAAAACTGAAGAGGACCCAATTAAGCAGATGAATAAAAAATATTGTACTTGTCAATTTATTTATTGAGGAGATAATCCAAAGCTTCCTGTTTGGGTATGGCAAAAGTATATAAACCTCTAGGATTATGAATTCATTTGAAGAGAAAATTAAATGTTTCAATCAAGGAAGGACCTGCCTTATTTAAATAACAGAATTCTGGATGCACTATCAAGTCTGATCTTCCCAATATAAATATTTAGAAGTGTGTTATGGCTCAAACTAAATAAATTTCTCAGGACCTCAAAAAAAAAAAAGTTGCTTATAGTCACCTGACTTTTTCCTCTTTCCAAAGTATTTGGACTCTACTAGTTCACTGTCAGGCAAATCTGTATATAAATGGAATATATTCAACACTATTGTCACCCTCCCAGAAGTGATTGGTTAACCAAAATCACATCAAGAGCAAGCCATGTAATACTCAGAACATTTCAAAGAATCCCAGGGTAATGTTTAAGAAACTAAAGGTGTCCATAACTCCACCTTCAACAGAATCCAGAAGTAAAATGGTATGTGTGGCACAGATGCAAGGAGAAAGCCGCAACTCTCCAAAAAAGATTAAGAGCCAGAAGGCTGTTGGAAGAGTATTCTGTGGATATATGAGACCAAAATAGAACTTTTTGACTTGAATGATAAGCGTTGTTTGGCAAAGGGCAAATCTTGCCTTCCAGCATAGGAACTTTCTCCAATCTGCGATATATGGTGATGGTTTTGTACTGCTTTGCTGTTTCTGGACCAGGACAGTTTGCCAACATTATGGATTTAGAAGTTATTGATTTCGAATTATACCAGCAATTTCTACAGGAAAATGTCAGGATATCTGTCCAGAAAACGAAGCTCAAGAGAAAGTGGATTATGCAGCAAGACAATGAGTCAAATCATACAAATCATACCACCAAAGAATAAGTAAAGCAGAAGAAAATTAATTTTTGGAATTGTTGAATAGTGGGTGCAGACAGAGGACATAGGACACATTCGGCAAGTTACAGGTTTATTCAGTTCCAGTAACAGTAATGGCAAGGTGAGCCGTGGCAGCCCTTTTTAAACCGGAGTTGTCCGTGGCTTCAGCCACTGACACACGTTTAATTTTCCCACTCTGGCTACTGGCTCCTGATGGGTTCCTGCGCCTGCCTATTCAATACTTAACAGAATGGCCAAATCAAAGTCCTGACCTTAATCCTATAGAAATGCTGTGAAAAGATAAAGGAGGCCGTTCATATGAGGAAGCCCACCAGCAGTCTTTAGATTTTCTGAAAGGTGGAATAGCCAATGTTCCTCTGATCAACTGTTATTAGAAGCAATTATTGCTGCTGAGGGGTAGTGTGGAAAATACATCATGTTATAAGTTATCTTTTTACAGGAATATTGAAATTTAAAAGGGTCCATGAACTTTTATCTGTGGTATCTAAGCCCTAAATGTTGAGCAGGACAATTAAGATGGAGTCTTGCATAGACAGATAATCATATAAATATTACTAGCATGCCAAATAAAATGATCCTGAAAACTGACAATTCATGATAGCATATATTTGGTATTAAGTAAGGGCAATTCATTATTCTGAGAATTGTTTAATTTTTAAAAAATAGTTTCCTAGCCTTATAGCATAGATAAACATGAAAACCTGTGGAAAAAGTCTGATAAATAGGGATGGACAAATGCATATAATTTCAATATTCTAGCTGTGGAAAATACCTATTGGTATTGAGACCCATATGTAATCTTCTTGCCTAGAGTTGAAGAGAAAGCTATTTTCATTCATATATTCTTATCATTCATCCTACATTTAAAAAAAAAATACTTGTAAAGCTTATCCAATAATTCGAATAACTTTGATTGATCTTCACTATCAATCATGTGTGCGTGCATGTGTGTGTATGTCACTTATATATAAAAGTGACTTAGACCATTTTTCACACTTACGACCATTGCAGCATCCCTATGGTCATGTGATCAAAATTCAGATGCTTGGCAACTGGATGTATTTATGACTGTAGCAGTATCCTGGGCTCATGTGGTCGCCTTTTGTGACCTTCTGAGATGCAAAGTCAATGGGTAAGCTAGATTCATTTAATAACTGTTACTAACTTAACAACTTCAGTGATTCTTTTAACAACTGTGGTAAGAAAGATCATAAAATGGGTAAAAATTCATTTAACTATTTTGCTTAGCAATGGAAATTTGGGCTCAATTGTGTAGTCGAGGACTACAATGTGTGTGTATGTGTGTATGCGTTTTAAACAAAATGATTTAAACTATAATTCTGTTTGTTTGTCTGTATTTCTGTCAATCCCTTGAATGGAATTCAGAAACTGTTTGAGAACTTTTTCAATGAAATTTCTCTCTTAGGATTCATAAGGTGTTATGCAAATTATTATCAAAGCCCATGGGACTGCACAGGGGCCCACCCAGATGAACTTTCCTTTCAAAGGGGAGATTTGATATACATTATTAGTAAGGTAAGTGCTATTATTCATGTATTCATTTGTCTTATTCATAAGTTGTTGAAATCAGCTAGGAGGCAAGTAACACAATCACTACACATAGTTAAAATCACAATATAATGTCCAAACAAATAACTATAAAGAAATACATCAGGACAAACTAGGAGCTGAATACCTGCTAGAATACCTGGTTTTAATTGCCTTTCTAAATACTAGCAGAGTCCATTCTCACTTCCAGATCCAAAGAGTTAGAGTTACCATTGAGGAGGCCTTTGATGAGACCCATCTCTCTCAGCCCTCACAGAGTGAGAGGCTGTCAACAGACACCCTCTAGGTGTTCATACTGGTCAGGTAGATGTTGCATGATGTAATATGAAGCAGTGCTATGAAGATCCTTAAAAAGATGATAAGTGCTTTGAATTAAACCTGAAAGTCAATCAGGAGCCATTTCAGTGAATACACTAAATACAGTGAATACATTGAATTCTACACTAATTGATTTGTCCCTTCAGGAGTCATTTGGAACCATCTCTAAATGCAGTCCCATATAGAATACATTATAGTGTCTGGCTGTGATAATCAGGGCATGAGTCATCTTGATTAAAGTAGGGGTGTTAATGATGCAGCAGCTAGAGCTGAGCAAATCCCCTTCCCACCACCACCACAATTTCCACCTGCTAATTCAGCTGAAGGACTCCCAGATCATATACCAACTCCTTAGCTGGGAACACTACCATGTCAAGAGTAATTACTGGGTCAATTCGAAAAAAATGCTGTCATGTTTATTAGAAGCAAGTAGCGTAATTTCAGTTTAGTTTTAGTTGTCTTGATTTGTCCCAGTAATATCCTGACCTTCTCCAGGTACCAATGCATGACTTCCACAGCATCTCCACCTCAATCTAGCAATATATAATTGGGCATTATCAGCATACTAATGATCTTTCATCCTGAATCAGCAAATGATTTCTTCGACTGGTGAATGATTAAATACAGGCGAGAGTATCAAACTCTGGAGAACTCCACATTAGATCTTTTAAAAGCCTAATTGCTATTCTCACAGCACCACCAAGTAGGGCAACTCATAAGGCAGGATTGGAACTACTGAAAATGGTGTCCCCTAATGGATCTTGCAGAATTTCAAGGGAACTTTGTCTGTAATTTGAAAAGAAAGTGATCTGATCATGGCAGAAGAAAATATCTATGTCATCTATCTTCCAATTACATTTCAACTTCTCTGAAGTCCTATATTACTATGTGTCATATATTTGAATCACCAAGACCAAATTGGCATGGAGCTTGGAATCTCCCAGAACCTACAGCAATTTTACTATATATATTTTTGTGCCAAAACCCCGAAACCAAGATAAACAAAGAGCATATCCAAACTATATGAGAGCAGGTTGTGATTTCAGCTGTTCTGAACAGGCAGTCAAACTGTGATGCAATTTAATTTTAAAGTGCCTGAGATAATTCCAATAATTTTTGGATGGCATAAATATTGCATCAGCTGCCCATGACATTCTTCTAATTTATTAGCTTTGCTAATAAACTTGCTGCACAAACAATACTGCGCAGTTACCATTTTAAACTCTAAACAGACGTGGATTCCAGTGGAGGGGAAGGTGTGTAAGTTACAAAATGACAGAATTTAGTATGGCAGTAGAGAAAGAAGTAACTGGTTTTACTATTGCCTTGTTTTAAAATCTTTAAATAAATATTAGTGCATTTAGGATGTTGAAGAAAGGGAGGTATGAAAGAGAACACATGTAGTTTGTGGAGGAATATATTCATCAATGGCTAGGTTGACCAATGTAAGGAGGATGTCAAAAAGGAAAATTATATTCTAGGATTCAACCTTCTTATTTGACTGCAGCTAGTGGTTTTATCCCATGAGGATGCTGTAAAATATGTAAAAATGAGTAATATCTGCAATACACGAGTCCTGCTATGGACTCTCAACAATCATTATGGAAAATTTTTGAAACTAGAATATATTGAAAACTGCAGTTCTATGTAATAAAAACACCCATGTCTTTCTGTTCTCCTTTCTACACCCAAATCTCCCTCTCTAGTTCAGAAAGTTGCTCCTGGAAATTCTTCTTTTGTTTCATGTAAATATGCTTTGCAATAGTTTGTCTCTATAACAGGCTGAGCATGTGTTTTATCACTCAAGAATCACATAGTTAATTGAGCTGCTTGGTCAGATGCAGTGGTGGGATTCAAATAATTTAACAACCGGTTCTCTGCCCTAATGATTTCTTCCAACAACCAGTTCACCAAACTGCTCAACTGGTTAACAACTGGTTTTCCCGAAGTGGTGCGAACTGGCTGAATCCCACCACTGGTCAGATGTGAGATAGGAGCACGAAACTGCAGAAGTGTAGGATGAAGAATTGGTAGGAATACAAAGTACTTTCTTTACCACAGATATGCAAATGATGAATGCACCCTAAGTAAGGATCTAACTCCAAGAAGCTGGATATCAGATGACAAAAACCTGACTTCCTATGTAATTGCTTATATCAGAGCAATCAAAGAAAAGAGTAGGAACTTCAGAGCTGGGTCTACATAAGAAAGACTTACTTCTGAACTGAGACTTAAGTCTTTTTGGGTGCTAATGATTTAAGATTGGTCTTGAAGGTTAGTTCATGAAGATACAAACATGCTACTACCACAGTCTAGGTTGTCTTCCTCAAGCCCTTTCTAATACTGTAATAGGTACTTGCTAGCACCTTAAAGATGTCCCATTTATAAGAACAATTATTTGAAACAAATTTCAGCTCAGCCATGTGGTTACAGAGCACTATCGAGGCAATTGGGTTATACATTTTCTATGCTAAAATTAAAATGCAAGCTTCATAGAAGTTTATTTTTTCTTATTTTGTATAGTTCCTGAGACTTATATTGTATAATATATTGACTTTGTATTTTGCTGGGAATGGGGAAGAACAAAGTGATATGCTCAATAATGGAGTGACCCAACTTCTGTAATCATTCAAAAGCCTATTCTACCTTCTCTTCCTTGTACTATATAGTGTATGAAGTATATTTCGTAACATTTAGTTATGAAGTAAAAATAAAGAAATAAAAAAACTGAGATTTGCTTTCTCCCCATGTAGCTGCAAAATTTTGGTTATAGGACATTTCTCTATAAACTTTCCTAATCCTGGAGGAACCCTTGAAATAATGTTGCATAAAATAGCAAAAAATATAAACATTCCACAATGGAATTCTTCTTTAATGTACGCAATCCACAACAGCAAAGCGACAGGCCAATAACTGAGTTACAGTGCATAAAGATACTCACCATTTTGAGTGCTAGCACAGTGGCATCAGAAGTTAAAAATGCAAGAGTATGGTTGTACTTTTTTGTTCTTTACATGCTTTCCCTTACATTGTCCAGGAGATTAATTAATTTTGATGAAAATTTCATTTTGATGAAATTTTACAGCAAATACCACCTCACACACAAAAAAATCAACATATCACATAAGCCAAATTTCTCTATAATACTTTATAGGAAGGTGCTCAAATGCAAATATGGAATTTTGCCCAGAAGCCACAGTTGACAATGATTTTTGATCTTTTTTTTTTCTTGCAGCAAAAAATATTATACTTTGGAAACACATTTTTTACAATGAAAAAGAATAGTTTCCCAAAGCTACTCAATTTTAAAATAGGATGATCATTTAAGTTTTATTGAAAATCTTGTAACAGAGGACAGAATTCTTTCTCTCTAATCTTTTGTGAGGATGAAGTACATCTTAAATTCATTACTATCAATATGAATGCTTCTTATTCTTTGAGTTCCGTGCAAATATTTACTGGAAATATTTTAACAATTTTCCAGTTCTTACAATTCCAGGGGATGAACCTTTTCAAATAATGAAATGACGGCTTTTTAATAATCAGATTCATCTTGTTTTCAAAATGTACTTTCAAGAATATGCTATCACAAAATGCACTCTTAAACCCTTCCATATTTATAATATTAACTTATCTATTAAATGTAATGCCCTGAGGAAGACATTTTTATCAATGTAGATCAATGTTTCTCAGCCTTGGAAACTTTAAGATGGTGGACTTCAACAAACTGACTGGAAAGTTATGGAAGTTGAAGTTCACCCATTTTAAACTTGCCAAGGTTGAGAAGTAGACACTGGACGTCTTCCTGTTGCCTTCCTGCCTTTCTTCTCTTAGCACCCAAGAATATGACCTGGTTTTGATTTCATTGAATGGAGCTCTATCACCTCCTGTTTGGGAATAACCAAGTGCTCCTGGGTGTTTTCCTTTCAAAAAAAGATTTTATGAGGCAATAGTGCTCACCTATGATTATTGAAGAAGCAAAGGTAAAATAAAGCTTGGCAGGGTTGCTGAGGGTGGCAAGCAAGTGGGTTGGGAGAAGAAGAGAAAAAGGTGTTTGAAAAGCCTGTTCACTCAGCTGCATTTTAATTTCCTTCTCAATCTTGTCCCAATTAATTTTGCAAAATTAATCTTGCCGAAGCAAGTGTGGCAGAGGCGCCGAGGCTTGCTTTTTCTTTTCTTTTCTTTAAAAAAAAATGCAGTACGGTTGCTGTGCCTTGAACATGAAATAGTAGCTAATATAAAAATCCATCTGGTGTTATTTGGAATGCATGTGTCTGCTGCTAAGGTCCTGTCTGACATTTCATGCATCAGCCATGGGGAGATGTGATTTTGGGATGGGAAAGAAGGGGGGAGGCTTAGTTGGCTATGATTCAACAGCAAATAGGAAAGAGTTATTCAATTATGGTATAGGGCAAGGGGGGGCCTGACTAAATTAACCTCGTATATTTACTATAACTTTAGATTTTATGGAAGGTAGATTCTTTCTTTTCAGCATTAAGGTAAACCCAATCAAATAATAATAAAAATAACAAGCTGTTCTACTGCTGAAATTTGAAATTGCATCCCACAATACTAAATTCAATAAACAAGATAGAGATATGAAGATTCAAATTCTGTGCTTTGTATGCACTTTTCTGTGCACACAATAA